TGCAGCAGTTTGTTGAGTGGTGTGACGCCTCCCGGCTGGAGCTGAACGTCAGCAAGACCAAGGACATGCTGGTGACCTTCTCCAGAAAACAGAGAGAGCTGGCCTCGACAATCCCCACCATCATCCAGGGGACTCCAGTGGAAACTGTATCAGAATACAAGTACCTGGGGACCATCCTGGACCATAACCTGAGGTTCTCCTCCAACACTGAGGTGATCCTGAAAAAATGCCACCAGAGGATGTACCTGCTCAGGAAACTGAACTCCTTCTCCGTCAGCAGGAAAATCCTCCTGACCTTCTACCAGGCATTCATAGAGTCCGTCCTCTCGTTCTCTATGGCTTGCTGGTTCCACTCCCAAAGTCTGCAGGAGAAGAACCGCCTGGACAGCATCAGCAGAGTGTGCTCCAAGATCATCGGACTTCCCACTCGCCCTCTGACTGCAGTGTGTGAGCAGCAGACCCGTGGTCTGGCTGCTCAGATCATGAAGGACCCCTCACATGCTCTCTTCCCCTGCTCAGATCATGAAAGACCCCTCACATGCTCTCTTCCCGCGTTCGAATGGCTGCCCTCCGGCCGCAGGCTGCGGTTCCCAGCTTGCAGGACAGCGAGAAGGAGATCCACCTTCGTCCCCCAGGCTGTTCTCCTCTTAAACTCTTAAACTCTTATTCCAATATCCCTGACACCCCTCCCCCACCATTCAAACTCGCATACCCCATTGTGCAATACGGGCTTACAGTGCAATACTTGACGTGCAATACTGTTTTCATGTGCAATACTGTCTTACTGTGTCCTCACTGTGCAATACTGCTCGATGGGCAATACTATTTGATGCTGGAGCCACTACCTCAAGACCTCAAGTGCTAAGCTACTCTTATCCTATGTCTTTCCTTGCTCCTACTGTCTCTACAATAAGCCGCTCTCGTACAACTCTAATTGCCCCACGGGGATAAATAAAGTTTTCTGAATCTGAATCTGAATCTGAAAAACAAAGCGATGGACTCCAACCGCACGACATGTTTACCTGGAGCTTTCTCTGATCGGCAAAGAAAAACCCACGCGTCGGCGCATGAATTAAACACGACATGTTGTTGCTATTATACCTGCTGTAAAGCCCCCCCCCCATCCTCTGCCCTCCCCCCCAGCAACGAGAACAAATTTGAGTGACAGCGCAACATAGCGCTCGCAGCGTAAAAGACATGCTTTAAAAGCACGCCTACAAAGGATTGCCTTCCCGGAGCGTTGATTGACGTCCCGACCCCCCCCCCTCTTCTCTGACACTTTGACATGGAAATGAAGTTTTTAAGTCGAGCCCTCCAGTCGCCGTCTTTCTTCTACGGGCGGCTTTGACGACGAGGCACGTTTGCCGCCGCCGTGTTTGCCCAAGCGGCCTGACAACAGCCACGCACGCGCGCCTCGCGACTCATAAAAGAGTCGCGAGGCGCGTGCCGTCTGGGCCAGACGTTTTTTTTTTGTTTTGTTTTTTTTCCTGGTGACTCAACGAACAAGCTGTGACATCAGCAAGCAGGTGGAAGATTGATGTTTAGGCAGGAAATCGTGCCGCGTGAGGTATAGGCCCATTTCGGTTGCCTGGAGGTATAAAAAATGAAAAAAAATCGGTGTTTAGCTCGAAGGTTTCTTTTTTTCCAGCAATGTTCTTTTTTTGGGTGGTGAAGGGAAAAAAAAATTACCCGGCTGACAGTTTCGGCTGTTGCTTCAGCCTTCATCGGAGCTGTCAATACTTCCTGGCGACGTGTCTTAAAAGCAGCTGACCGGGTCGGGAAACCTTGAATTAAGACACCCCGACCCGGTCGAGGCTGCTATTGACAGCTCCAATGAAAGCTGAAGCACAAAAAAAAAACAACCCGGAACCTTAAACCTAATTGACATGATTGACTTTGTCACATTGCGTCATTTTTCTCTCTCACGGTGACATGTACCTAATGATGTGTCCCGTGAGCGCCTAGCCGCAGGCATGCTCAACATCTACGAGTTGCTGAGACAATTTTTGACGAGACGCTCAAGAAAGAGCGCGTCATCTCCACCGAGACGGACAGCCCCCCCCTCCCTCGCTGGCCCTTCGAGAATCTACGTGCGCGCCATCTCAACGTGGCGAGCCTTTCACATCCTCGCCGCGCCGCCATCAATCACGCCGCGCCGACCCGTCGGCCAAACGGACAGACGGCAGACGGACGGAACCTCCAGAAGTGCAAAACTTCAATAAAGAGCCACCGTCACGCTGCATCGCCGCGGCGGGACATTCAAGAGCTGAACGCGTCGAAAGCAGCCAACAGAAACGTTGGTCTCCCCAAGATTTTTGTATTTGTTGTGTCGTTGTTTTTCGTCTTCTCAACTTGCAGAAAATAAGAAAAAGCGATAAAAAGCTACAGCACAGACCATGTGATCACTGCACCATCTGCCGCTCTCTCGTGTCATTTTGTCAGCCTTCTTTCTTCGTGACGAGGCGCGACAAATGTTCCTTCATGTTACGTGGAGTCTGTTGTTCTTGTTTTAACTGACAGAATGTCAACCAAAGTGTCACACCAAATGCTGTCGACACGGCGGAGTGTTGGTTGAATTTATGCTCTTTGGACCATCGCTCGTATAATTAAATAAATAATGAGAGTGATCCCATTTGGGCATCCCTCAGGGTAATGCTTTATTTTAAGTTTTCTAATATTATTTTGTCCTGACATAGAGTTAGTCTAACCAAAAACATACGTCAAAGTCACCAACAGTTGGTCATAATTTGGAGTGGGGTCCCTCAGGGAAATGATTGCGGTCCCCTCATAAACAATAAACGTTTCTCTCCATATAGCCAATGGAAGTGGAATGGCAACCTACCTTGGACCTCTTTGTCGTTCCGTAACCACCGAATGTGAGCGGCCGGCTTGCTGCCCGCCGTGGTGCACGTCAGGGTGATGACCTCGCCTTCCAGAGCCGGACTGGTAAAGCCTGTGATCTCGGGCCGCTCTGGCACTCCTGGACAAACAGCACCCGCAACGTGAGACTTTGTAGAAGCTTGGTCCACTTCTTACTGGTTCGAACTCTGACCTAAGACGGTGAGGAAGGCCTTGGTGGTCTTGACGGGCATGGTGAAGAGCGAGCACGTGTACTGGCCCTCGTCGGCCAGGCTGACGTCATTGATGCGGATGGTGAGCTCCTGCCACGACGCTCGTACCAGCTCGATGCGGTTGTCCCGAAGAGCTGCACGGACCAACGCAAGACACGCCGAAGAGAACGTCAGCGATTGTCTGCGACGCGAACCGTCAGCGGGATCCAGAAATGTGAACCTTTGCTTCAAACCCATTTTCACTTTTGACTGTTCCAGTCCAATTACAGCGGAGCCAAGTGAGCTGGTGACCCACCAGATGGCTTGAAACTAGGGCCCCACCGAGATGGGTTTTCAGGCCAATTTTTGACAGAATAAAAATTCCAAAGACCGATAAATCGGACGGTGTGTGTGTGTGTGTGTGTGTGTGTGTGTGTGTATATGAATATATATATATATGCAAAACATATGACTGCTTTACAAGACCTGTCGTATTAACTTTACCACAGACAAAAAAAAGCCAGCAAAAATCGTCTCATTTTTTTTTTGTCCTTGACCCTAATTTGCAATGTTAAGCCTGGTTCGAAACAGTTGCCTGTGTTTTGAAACCCTACAAGAAATAAAAGAACATTTTTTGTTTGCATCAAAGTGACACACTCGGACAGTTTCTTTATCAAACCCACACGGGAAAAGTGTGAATCGAATGTGTTGAGAAAAAGTCTGGCGCATATACCTGCAAATACAGCCTGCAAGGTGTGTGTGTGTGTGTGTGTGTGTGTGTGTGTGTGTGTGTGTGTGTGTTTATCTTTATTTCTTTGCAGAACGCTGATTGAACTTGAGCTTTCATTTATTTTTTAAATTTATTTGTCCATAATCATATCATCACGAAACATTTGGCAAGATGGATTTAAGAGATTAAACACCTTGCGTTCAGAGCAATCCATCTGCCTGGCAGGGTTAATTCTCAGGCACGCGGCTGAGAAGAAAACATCCAAGAAACGGCGCACATTTAATCCAAGTACTTTATGTGCCACCACTCGCACAAACTCGACAAGGATAAATGTAAACGTGATGCACTCAAAAGTACATTTAGTCGGCACACGCAAGAAAAGCAAATCAAACACTTGATGATAGTCTTCGAGACGAACTCAAAAGAGAAACTTTTATATAATCAGTCAATCAAAAGCGTTTCTGAAATAAATGAATAAATAAAGTTAGGCGTGATATTTTTTTTTAAACTATACCCAAGGTCTCAAGATGCGTTACTTTAGTAGAAGAAACTTTATGCAAAACAACCAAGATCGCTCGAATAAAGTGGAAAGGAGTAAGTTTGTCATGGACACCCGCCTAGATGGGCCGCTGTCCAGTTATAAATTGACATTCACTTGGCGCATCTAGAAATTAACTTGACAATACATGTTCAGTCATGTCTATCGAGTTCAAAATCCCGTTTCATCACAAAGCATACACACGGGGGAACTTTGCCTACCTGCATAGATGGGCTGCAGCCCATTCAAAGACATTAGGATGCCGTCGCTATTGTCTGATTTCAAGAGTTGCAGAAGAAATCCGTTGAACCGCTCAAAGGCTGGACCCTGTCGTTAATGTGCTCCTGTGAGGCTTTGCCGAGATGATGCGTCCGTCACCCGCGGTGCATCCGCAACAACGCGGCACGCCCCCGTCGTCAATTGCGACCCACCGACCCCCCGGGCTAATTACGCTCGGTTCGCCGGCGCGAATGAACGTTTGGGCGCACACATTAACGCTTTCATTTAGCGCGCCACGGCTATTCGATTACGACAGGGCGGCCGAGATCCGTTTCGCCGGCTGACCTTTGCTGACCCGAGGCAAACGTCCCAATTAGACGCGGTGAAGGAAGACGCGCAAACAACTGCGGAAGAAGGAAAATGAAGGGGAGGACTGCACGTGCACGAAGGTACTGTTGACATCAGTTATGGAGGAAAAACGCTTCCGCCGGCCAAAAATGTCATTGTCGTTTGTATTTAAGACAGAGTCAGAAATTAATGCGTTACAAGAAACATTCGAACTGAGAGAGGACGGGAGTTGTTTCCGCTGGCCCGGCCATTGGGCAGTTGTGCTCCCGTCTTCTGATATCGAAAAATAATATGCAAAACTGAATTGAATTGGCCCAGAGATTCATCCAAAATGGCTGCTTGAGTGGTATCGGGGACTGTTTTTTCTTAAACTTCTAGGGGCTTCATTCACAAATTCTGCTTACTCTGACTAATTTATGTCCGCATCGCTAACTTCTAGGGGCTTCATTCACAAAGGATTCTGCTTACTCTGACTAATTTATGTCCGCATCGCCAAGGAATGTGGATGTGTTATGGTATCGTCGTCGGCAGGCAGTGAGTCCGATGTGTACGATGCATAACAGATGCCAGCTGGCAAGATATAAGAGAAGGGCTGCGACAATCGTGCGATCCGTATGAACGGACCCGAACAAACCGGGCAAGGTTAGTGCGCTCCTGGCGCTTCACTTGAGGCTTGAGCGAAGCCTCTCGGAGAGAACCTCATCGTTGACGCTCTCGCCGCCGATGCATGAGCTCATTGAGCTGTCGCCCACCCACTTCCTCCCCCCGGCAAGCCTCATTCCTTCTCATGGGATGCGGGAATGAAAGCGGCGGACAAATTGTACAGCTCCACTTGGAGCGCACACACGGCAGCATGGCTGTCAAAGCTGGCTGAGAACTCAGGAGCGTACCAGTCACAGTTAGGGAATCATATTTTTCAGACTTTGAGTCGGTCTGGAGCACAAGTCGCGCAAGTCAAAAACCGCATTTAATCATACCAACTGTGTGTTTTGCATATTCTTGCCCATAGCAGAAGCATTACAAAGGATTTAACATCCGGTGTGTCGTCCCTTTGAATTTATGGAGAGAGACGCGGATGTTTTATCCATTTTTCTTCCTTTCATCGGATCGAATCGTCTTTGGGGCTTTTTCATCCTCATTTGTCCGACCTGAATTAAAATGGAACAAATTAACCAAAGGCCAAAGATCAGATTTTGTCTTCAACTCTACCCAGCAGTCGCTTAATATTACGTGTAACTTTTAAGTCATTTAAAGAAAAAAAAAAAAACCTTCAACACAGCTGTTAAAAGGTCATTTTAACCCCCCTGAACACCTTATCTGGAATACTTTGCTCCAGGCTGCATGAGAATATTTTTTTAGGTCATTTTAATCCTCGCTGCCCCCCTATTTCATATCAAACTATAAAAACAGAACACCTTATCTGAAATACTTTGCTCCAGGCTGCATGAGAATATTTTTTTTTCTCCTTATTTAAAGACAACACAGCAGATGTTTTATAATCATCAAGATCATCATCAAGTCACATGAAACCTGTAAAAGCGCCTTTTGGACTAGACACCCACGGCGTGACAAACTGCCTTTGGAGGGGGTGGGGGGGGGGGGCTGCGCAGGACACAAACATATGGCCATGCTGTCACAGACCCCACCCGAGGGGAACGACGTTAACCACCGGTGAAGTTGTCCACCGCTAACGGCAAAAGAGAGCCAAGACTTGTCATCCCATTGACGTTCTTACGCGACAAAAATGCAAATCTGATCTCAATTCAAACTTTTTTAGATGATAACAAGTTTGCTCAGATACAATTGCATAAGCCTGTTTTGGTAAAAACGGATCGCTGTCATGCTTCGGTGCGCTGAATTGTGTCAGTCATGAATGTAGGAAGCGCACGCAGAGTAATTTCCTTCTCTTACTATCTCAAATTTAGGGTTTAAAGTCAGGGTTAGGGTTTCAAGTCTTAAATGTCTCTTAATTGTTTAAAAGTAGGGTTTCAAGTCAGGGTTATCATGGTTTCGTATTAATGCTCCGCAGTTTTAAATCAAGGTTTGAAAACATGATGAAGGTTTCAAATTAAGGATCAAAATTAAAATTTTCCTCAGTTGCATTGGGCTTTCAAATGACACTTAGGCCCACAGCAATGCTGTTGCTGCTATTATCATCAGGTGGTTGTTTTATTTTTTTATGAAGTGTTTCCAAAAGTATAAAGAAGTTTGGCTTGCGCTCTGACTTTTGCGTCCTCACCTTTCTTGTCGCCGAAGAAGAGCGTCTGCTGCGCAGGGTTGGACCACTGGAGGGAAGTGTTATCGTTGAAGTCCACCCGGCAGGTCATGTTGGTGGCGGAGCCCTCCAACGCTGTCACGTTCTGAGTGATGGGGAACTGACCTTGGCCACCTGCAGGGGAGGGCGGGGGGGGTGTGGAAGGAGGCACACGGTTGAGGTCATGACATGAATAGATTGCACGTTTGGACATGGTCTTGATTTCAGAACCAATCACGGCGAAGCGGCTCAATGTTTTGACATCACGAACATCCGTCCAGTCATCCCTTTTTTTATACTTTGTAACGTTAGATTGTGGTTCTCAAATTGAGGTACTGGAGCGCTGTAAAACACGTGCATCAAAATGTTGTATCTTTTTTTTTTTTTTAAGTTTGTACATTCAAATGGAGGCCGGCACAGCGAAAGTACATCCATACGTAACCTGTTATTTTGGGGCAATTAAAAGCTCATCACATGAATGTGGCATTCCTGCACGATTAAAGCCATTTTTTTCAGTCTTTTGACAATACTACAGATAAAATTACAAGACTGCTTAAAGGTATAGTAGATGAAGATAAAAGTTTTCTTGACTCGCCAAGTCGACCAATGTTCAGCAGCCTTTATTGTCCACACGTCCATCGCAGATGAAGACCATTTTTGGGTGAAAAACTAGGACAAAAATATACAATGACACAATGGACAACATACGCATATGTATCTCAACAACGAAACATACATTAACCATGGCCACATTCCGTTTCAACTTCGAAACAGGAGTAATTAGAAGAAATCGAAACTCTTGCCGTCGGGACCTCACGCTTTCGTCTCTTTCCTCAAACTGACGTCACTCCAAAACCACGTAAACCACTTTCTGCCACTCAATGCAACTCTCAAAAATAACACCAGGGGGCACAATCGCCTAAATAATGGTGGAGTCTTCACAAATAAATATACGTTGCCATTTTAAAGTCATGTAGAAAGGTACATTATTTTAATATCACCATGAAATTTGAATCACGACAATTACAGTCAGCTTTATTTTTACGGTTATGATACAATTCGACACTGTAGAATGAAACCAAAAATCAAAACCCGTTTTTGTTGCAAGCCGTACAGCGACGAGGAGGGGAGGCTGTCGACTTTGGTCAACAGTCCCTTAGCCAATCAGGATGCAGAACACAATCAACTGTTTAAAAAAAAAAAAATCTTTGAAAAAGCGAAGCCTTGAAAGGTGAACCGTGTTATCGCGAGGGTTCACTGTAACCTACTAACTAGCCTGTTAGCTAATGTTAGCTTACTTTGCTTTGAAATGCCTTTCTATTCTTCGTTTGTGAATGTGTTTGATTGTTGACAATGTATGCTCTTTTCATAATTCTCAGTACGCTACTTTTGTTCTCTCCGCTTTGCCTTCGAATGTCGTTAGCGGTTTGGAAATGCTTTTAGGTATTGTGCTTTTGGTGGTGTGAAGCACATCGAGTTGCCGTGTGTATAAAATGTGCTGTAAAAAAATGCCTTGTCTAATGTCACATATAAACTAAGGCTGAAAAGATCATTTAAACCTTTACCTTGATTGCTCTGCGGCGGTCCAATGACATGGAAGTTTTTGTTTACACGTGTGATGTCATGGTGAATACAGATGAGCCCAGTCGACGCCGCTAATCATGTCCCCCTGCATACGTCGCCCTCAAACACCCCGACGTGCTTTCCCGTCGCGTCCCGCCAAGGTGACATTGACGCGGTCTCCTCCCAGGTACAGTTGACCGCGTCGGCTGAGGGAGCAACTGCCCGCCTCATTAGTCGAGTGAGCACCGGAGGGCCCCTCTTTCTCCCCACCGCACCCCCCCAGGAGGCCCAAAGATCAGCGGACCTTCCTTGACCTCCATTGTCCTGATGGCCGCCGCTCGTCAGCTCAGGGACACGCTGAGGCCGACTATAAATAGAAATGAGAGCACCATTCCGGCGGTGGGAGCGAGGGGGCTGGGGAGGTTTTACAGGTACTTTCGCTCATTAAAATATCCAACTATGCCCTGGTTTGAATGTGTCTGGTTCAATATATCATCTGCCTGACAGAAAGGTAGGAGGCCAACTTCATCGGCAATGTGTTACATGAGACTTGCACAATCGCACGAGGTCCACTACTGTATCCACAAAGCTGACTTTCAAGACAATAATAATAATTATAATAATAATAATAATAATAATATTTGTCATTTTGCTTGGTTGCAGTGAACAACTGCATCGCATCTTACTGAGATCTGTTCTTAATATTTGGTTCCCATATTTAATAGAGCACGAACTCGCACCAAAAATGTGCATTCATCATTCATATTGGCATTAGCCACTGAATGACCGAATCAACTCAATTGTGTAATTTTGCCCAAAAAAAAAAAACACATTCTTTACTCGAATTTGATGAAAATTGTCAACGGAGTGCATTTACTTAGTGGCTTTATCTTGATCGGAGTGTATATTGCTAATAGCCTCATTCTAGCTAACGCTAAGATAACAAAGTTGGTCTCTCAGGTCCGGCGTCCAAGTTTGCAAAGTCACTTTCTTTACTTGCAAAGCCAGCGTCAGCCGGAGAAACGGCGAGAGGTTAGCCAGCCAAATATTCCCATTGCTAGAACGACGTTAGCAGAATGTAGCATGTACGTAGCTTTCACGCATGTGCACTCCCCACGTTAATGGGGCAGACATATGGCGCATTTGGAAATATTTCCTGAGCACGCACTGGTTTACTCCCAACAACCATCAGTGGTAAAGCATAGAATTTTTTTTTTTTCCAGTTTTCAATGTGGTACTACGTAGTGAGATTTGAAAACGAATAACTTGTCATTAGGATACACATGCTTGCAAACTTTTAAAGTTTCCACGTTATGCTAAGGCCTTACAACAAAAGCCGACTATAACTAAAGCGAGCATTTTTTACCTTTGTCAACTGATTTTGGGTCCTAAAATATTTTTTTCTATTTCATCATTTATTTATACCAGTGACGTATCATGACAGGCAGAACAATTCAGACGATGGAATCAACCTGTTGCCATTGAGCATTTTTTTACCTTTGTCAACTGATTTTGGGTCTTAAAATATATTTTTTCTATTTCATCATTTATTTATACCAGTGACGTATCATGACAGGCAGAACAATTCAGACGATGGAATCAACCTGTTGCCATTCATACAACAGAATAACAGCTTTGTGTTCAACTAAACGGGCCTGGTAAGTGCATTTGTGTGTCATTTAAAACAAGATCATCACTATTTTAGAAGACATACTTTTTGTGGCATTTTTGTTTGACATTTTCAATTCCAAGGATGTGCCTCGGTTCAATAAAGCTTAGCAAAGACCGTTGTAGAACCACAACCCTTAACCTACAAATCCAGAATAAAAGAACACTTGACTTTTTGCCAGATGAGAAGTTTCTCTCAAAGGCACACAATACAATGCAGACGGAGGTGTTGGCATGAAAAGAAAAGCGTAAAGCTGATGTCTAAAAGCACAGCGAGTCGAGGCTTTACGTATGCGCGGGAAAAGCAACCGTCGTGACAAAAGACGCCAAGGTCGCCCGTTGACACGTCAAATCATTTCTGTGTGCTCGCCAGAGATGATCCATCGGCCCCCAAAACGTAATTCATATCAGCGCCGAAGGCTAAATTGTGTGAAGAGCATGCGTTGGCGTGTCTTTCGGGCATTATGTGGAATGAAAAGAGGTCGCCGTGTTGACAGGTTGCAACGTTTGCAGGCGACTGGAAGTACATCAAACCCATAGACAGCCATGAAATAACCCTGAACATCAATACATATATACGGGGTGCGCAAGGGCGGGTCCGTGAATAGCAAATATCCGCGTATAATTGACGATTGAGGCCAATTATAAATGCACTCAATTTTTGGGGGCGCGTCCTTTCTGCTGAATTGCCAAAATCACAACAAATGAGCAATTTCATGTGATGGTTGCCTTATGTAACATCTTACAATACCGTATTAATTTCACCAAACCACGTCTGTAATTCTTGTTGTGATTTCGTGTATATGTATTTTGCATTTTGAGCCGCTGTCCGTTGACGGATGAAGCTAACGTCGCTAACTTCGATTAGCGCGCAACCTATTTATGATCCCGAGGAGAGCCAGCGAGACCGTTGAGTAAAATAACCGTCTGAGGTCATTTTAGGCACACAGTTCGGAAAATAAAATCATTGTGAGACCCAAAAGTGAAGTCAATATGAACCTTTTCCTGCCCAATCAACCTGCTTTTAAACTAAAATCGTATGATTTATTTATTTGCTTTTGTGTGTGTGTGTGTGTTCATTTAATCAAAACACCTGCTTGTGGGCCTACTTCTATAAAACTTTAATTAGTCCCACGGTGGTGCTTTGTGTTTTGTTAACAATATAATATTTTTTTTTTTACAAACATCACGCAGAGGCGAGATCAGCCCGAGCCATCACGTGATCACGGGCCTCCGCGTCAGCACGTGTCGGATTAGTCGGGAGCGGCGCTCGAACGTTTCCCAACGCGCCGCCATTAACTTGCCTACACAATCGGGTGGGGAGCCTCATGAATGAAATATTTCGCTGCACAGCTGGGAGGAAAAGGGAGGGCTTGGTTGCGGCGTTCTGTGAACACAAATATTTGACGAGAAGATGTGAGAGAGGAAACCGCGGCAACAGATGCAATCGAGGGGTGCTGCAGGTGCAAAGTGATGATTTGTAGCAGCAGCGCAGGGAGCAAATCGCAATTTCCTGCTCCGTTTTTTTTCCTGTGGATTTAAGCCAATATCTTTTTTTTTTTTTTTTTTTTGATTGGAGGATTCTTGCTCAGTTTGGAGGAAGAACTGTGACTTGACACTGCTTCAGTGTCGTAAAAGCGACAAGTAGAGCCCTGACGCAACACCATATATCGCACATTAGGGTTCATTAGCAGACGACCGGAAGAGCTCTGCATGTTGCCACTTTTGGAAAAGATGAGCTCAGACTCGGCATGCCGGCCCGACGAGCGTTGCTGGGTGGGAACGTGAGCGTTATCATTTATCGAGGCCAAGAAGATGATACTCTGGCGCTATTGATTTCGCGAGCGCGCGGGGCGACGTGGAGAATATCAATACCGGGAGGACGGGGGATGTTCTCGACTACA